GGGGGGGCAGGAAGGTAGGGGTGTGCCGAAGGGAGAACCAGTGACCTTGCAGGTAGATCAGTTTTATCAACTGATGGTCTTAGGCGCCAACTCAATGCCAGTAGGAATCCTCAATTTAGGATGTGCTGAAAAAAGGGACATTTCTTCAGTATAAAAAGCTCAACTGTGATACAGCACAGCTGTGAGGCAACCCTGGGGCCAGGCCCCTCACCAGCTAGACAGCTCTGCTCAAATTCTCAGTGGGCTGCTCTGAGGAGACATCTATGTTATAACTCACCTAGGGAGAGACAGTCTTCCATCTTTGATGAAAAGAGTAAAAGGGTTGCTCCTAGAGCAGGGGTGGAGAACCCTTTTTTCTGCCAAGGGCCATTTGGATGTTTATTATGTCATTCGCAGGCCATACAAAATTATCAGCTTAAAAATTAGCTATGAAAAACGCTTCCAGATTTATTGAATTTCAAGGCCCTCCTGCATTTGCTGTGGCTGAACCAGCCCAACCAGCCCACAGGTAGAATGCTCCCCACCCCTTTCCTAGAGCTGGAAGGGAGCTACTTTATAGGGACAGAAGGCCACACCCCTGGTCCCTGCTTGGTCTGTCCCCATGTAAATAAGGACTCCAAATCCTCTCAGTTTGATTGGCCCAAAAAGTACTGACCTGATTGGTCACAATAGAGCCACTCTGGTTGGTTGGAGTTACACAGCTCCGATTCGATGGGGAAAGCCTCAGTCCTATTGGCTGAAATAGGATTCCAGGAACTCCTTTGTAAGAAATGACTCAGACGGCAGACACAGGGCAGGTGGGCAGTTTAGTGCGGGTTTCTTCTTTAAGTGCAGTTTGCATGCAGTTTGTGTAGAAATGGCTGCTCGGCTCCGTGTGTGGTGGTTTTTGTTTTTACAATTTAGCCCAGTTAGCCACCAGGAGGCCTTCTTACTAGGTGTGTTCTTTTTCAGGGTTCACAATAGAAATCACTCAGTGCAAAGAACAGAGGAAAATGATTGAAAAAATATTAAAGCCTCAAAAACTGGTAGGATAATGTCAGGCATTCCAACATACAAGTAAAAGGAATCTCAGAAGGTGCAGAGACAGAAAAAGGGACAAAAATATTTGAAGACTGCATTGGAAAGAAGTGGTGTTTGGGGACATCCAACCAAGGCCTAGAGAGGACTGGGAGCCTCCAGTTTACTCCCTTTGGTATTTAGCTACCCTATAAAGACATGCAATTCAGCATAACCAAGGTGACATATTATACAGCCTTAACAGTCCACCCCATGTCAACTTGGCATCCATATACACCTCCGTAAAACATACTTAAAATTCAAATAAAAAAAAATCATACTTCTGCCTTAGATGGTACAACCTTTTCTCCAAAAGAGGATACAAAGGCTTTTTTGTCCTTGTGTGACATTTATGCTTCCTGATCATTACTCTAGTTCATACTTCCCTTTTATATCCTGTTATTTAAGTACTGAGATAAAAAATTAGCACCTTGTTGGCTGTTAGGGGGATAAAAGAAGGAAATTAAATATTTTTTAATTTTATGCAAACATCAAAATGAGGTAATACTTATAACTATCATGATCTCATTTCTGTAACTGGTCATGTGGTCATAACAAGTATCTATAATTACCATCTTCTACTCATTGCACGTTCCCCTTGCCTTCAGGAAGCATCTGCACTGGTCATGGTTCCTTTCTGCTGGGTTGACCCAAACATTCCTGAAGAATCTAGCTCATTAGAACTTCTGACTGGATTGGGTGGTTGTAGTTTTCCACTGGCTTGAGTAACTAATAAGGTCTTGAGAGTACTAAGTGGTCTCCTAGGATCTGTTGCATGCCATACACACTCCTCTTATCCCCATTGTGTAGCAGCAACCCAGTTTCCCCTGGACAGTCGGGACCAATCATCACAGCCAGAAGAAAGCCTTTCTGTTGTCTCAGTGGTAGGAAGGGTCAGAGTGGCCAGGTGGCAACATCAACTTCTGGTTGGATAAAATCATTGTCACCTGGTAGAAGCGTTGCTTCCTTTAGAACTAAGATCTCTATATAAGCAGGGACAGGAAGCAAAATTTTTACCAGTCAATTACTAAGCATAATAGTGAGAGGAGGTACTCCCATTCCCAGCCCTTGATAACTGGACCCGTAAATCCCAGCTATGGGGGAAACCGCATCATATATTGGATGCTGATTTAGAGTGTATACCACATCCTGGAGGACCTTGCCCCAGGATGCTACCATCTACCTAGTACCATAACCAAGCCTTCAAAAAGCCATCCACTGAGAGGATTTCCCTTCACCACTCTCCACTTTCAGGTGGTACCTGCATATCAAGCAGAGCCCGAGTTTTCTTCAGGCAGCTGGTCATGGGAACTTCCCATGGAGTAGATGACATGGTCATGAGGAAATCACACAGCGACTTGTGCCTTCAGGATCTTCTAGAGCCCATTTTCATACAAATTGCTTCCACTTGATGATGGAGTGTTGCTGTGCACCCAACCTCATGACCTAGTGGAGCAGACACTTCATGATGAACAGCTCAGGTCACATGAGAACCCACTGGCCCATGGTCAAGCATTCAGGTTTGGGTTAATGTGTTTCTTATTTGTTTCTGACTATTTTAAAATAATTATAGATTCATAAGAAGTTGCAGAAATAGTACAGAAAGGTTCCACGCATCCTTTATCCAGTTGTCCCAAAGGTAGCAAATAACAATCATATAATACCAAAACCAGGGGATTGGCTTGGGTACAATCCAGAGTTCACTTAGATTTTTATCAGTTTTACATGCATTCATTTGTGTGTGTGTTTGCGTACGTAGTTCTATACAATTTTATCATGTGTCAATTTCTGTAACCACCACCATCAAGATACAGAACTGCTCTATCACCACAAACAGCCCTGGTGCTTTTCCTTTACAGTCATATTTGCCTTTCTTCTCTCTCTTCCCCACTCTCTCCCTAACCCCTGGCAACCATGAACCTGTTCTCCATGTCTATCATTTTGCCATTTTGAGAGTGTGATATAAATAGAATCCTACAGTGTGTGGCCTTCGGAGGTTGTCTTCTTTGCTCGTCATAATGACCTTGGTGTCCATCCAAGTTGTTGCATGCATCAGTAGCTTCTTCCTTTTTGCTTAACCATTCACCCATTGGAGGATATTTAGTCTGTCTCCAATTTTTGGCTTTTTCAAACAAAGCTGCTATGAATATCCATGCACATTTTTTTTGACATTAGAATTGTTTTATTTGTGATAAAATGCACATAACATAAAATGTACCATCTTAACCACTTTTAAGTGTACAGTTCAGAGGCATTAAGAACATTGGCATCATGTCACCACCATCATCTCTAGAACTTTTCATCTGGCACAACTGGAACTCTGTGCCTGGTAAACAGCAGCTCCCCCCTCGCTTTCCTCTCCGGTCTCTGGCAGCCACCAGTCTACTTCCTGTCTCTATGAGTTTGGTTACTCAAGGTTCCTCACATAAGAGGAATCATACAATTTCTGTCCTTTTGTGACTGGCTTATTTCACTTAGCATAGTGTCCTGACCTCAAAGATGGTGCATGTTGTAGCCTGAGTCAGAATTTCCTTCCCTCTTTAAGGCTGAATAATATTCCATTATATATATATATTGTTTATCCATTCATCTGTCAACAGATCTTTTGGCTACTGTGAATAATGCTCCTCTGAACATGGGGGTACAAATATTGTTTTGAATCCCTGCTTTCACTACTTTGGAATGTATACCCAACGCGTACGTGTTTTGTGTGCATGTGCTCTCATTTCTCTGGGATGCATGCCAAGCAGTGAGATCTCTAGACTGTATGGTTAGTGTATGTTGAGTTTTTAAGAAACTGCCAAACTCTTTTCCAAAGTGGCCATACCATTTTATATTCCCACCAGCAATGTGTGAGGGGTCTAGGCCCTGCACATTCTCAGCGGCACTTCGTATTATCACTTTAAAAAAGTTTTTTTTAGCTGCTCTAATAGTTGTGTAGTGATATCTCATCATGGTTTCAATTTACCTTTCCCTGGTAGCTGATGGTGTTGAACTTCTTTTCACATGCCTGTTTGCCATCTGTATGTCCTCTTTGGTGAAACGGTTGCTCACTCCCTAGTTGGATTGTTTGGCATCTTTTACCATTGTTTTGAGGGTTTTTACATATTTCAGATATCAGTACATTTTCAAACAGGTTGTTTGCAGATATTTCTTCCCAGTTTGTAGCTTGTCTTTTTATTCTTTTAACAGGGTCTTTTACCAAGCAAAAGTCTTTAATTTTGTTGAAGTCCAATTTGCTGATGTTTTCTTTTATGGATCAAGTATAGAAATATTACTGATTTTTGTATATTGATCTGATTGCATACAAAAACTTTGCTGAACTCATTTACTCTAGTAGGTTTTTAATGTATATTTTTCTTAGGACTTTCTATATATAAGATCATTCCTTCTGTGAATAGAGATAGTTTTACACTTTCAGCCAGCTAATTAACATCTTAGGCTAATCTGTTATGCTCTCTCTTTCACATTGCTGTAGCACTCTGAATCCTGCCCCTCTCCTGCTCCTAACAGGAGGACCTCACAATTGTCTTACCACAGTTAGGAAACTTTCTGTACCATGCTTAAACCTCAGACTTATTAGAGACTTCAATTAAAAACTCTGAACTACCCCAGCTGGCATGACTCAGTGGTTGAGCATCGACCTATGATCCAGGAGATCGCAGTTCAATTCCCAGTGGTTGTGGGCTTAATCCTGGGGGGTAGGGGGAGAGGCAGCTGATCAATGACTCTCTCATCGTTGATGTTTCTGTCTCTCTCTCTCTTTCCCTTCGTCTCTCTGAAATCAATAAAGATATATGTAAAAAAACAAACAAAAAAACCCCTCTGAACTAATATAGTTCTTTTTTTGTTTTGTGAGTCCTCACCAGAGGATGTTTTTTCCATTGCTTTTCAGATAGAGAGTGGAAGGAAGGGAGGGAAGAGCAAGAGAAATATTGATGTGAGAAAGATACATTGACAGGTTGTCTCCCGCAGGCGCTCCAACTGGGGGCAGGGAGGGAACCCTCAACCCACGTATGTGCCTTTGACCAGGAATTGAACCAAAGACCCTTTGGTGCACAGGCTGACCCTCTAACCACTGAGCAACAGCAGCCAGGGGTTAGTATATTTCTTTTATTTGAGTATATATAGAGGAAGTGAGAGAGAGAGAGAGAGGGAGGGAGGGAGATTTGTTGTTCCACTTATGCATTCATTGGGTGATTCTTGTATGTATCCTGACTAGACATCCAATCCGCAACCTTGGCGTATTGATACTACGCTCTAACCAACTGAGCTACCTGGCCAGGGCCTGAACTAATATTTTTTGTTAGTGAGTCAAATCTCAAAAATGAAACTGGAGAATATCAAGCAGGATATGCTGTTACTAATTTATGGTCTCTTTAGAACATAGTCGTCTATGTGAGGGTAAAACCAGCCCAGATGGTAGAACTTGTTACTCTTACTATGTATAATTTGTTGACTAACCAGAGACCAGGGAATAGGCATACACATAGATAGCAGATGTACTCGAGATCAGCACATGATTTTGAGATGCCTTGAAAACAAATGTTTCCTGATCTCTGCTAGAATCCTCACCAAAAATGGACTACAACCTAAGGAACTCACAGATTCACTCCTACTTCCTAGAGAGGGGGCTATTATAAGGGCGGAGGCCCATGCAAAAGAGGTAAGATGCAAGTGAAAGGAAATGCCCTAGCAAGATATTATGGCAAGCAAGTGGCCTTAGCCAAGGTGAGGTTCCTAACGAGGAATCCAAAGAGGCCATTATAAGATATCAGTGGTTAGCCCCTATTTGGGGGGTGAGAGAGGGAGGCGNCATCTCTGGCGCTCCCAAGATGGCCACTTGGTGGCACCAGATGATTTCAAATGGATTATCAGCTAACTTCCATGAAACTACCCATCATAGTACAAATTGGTTACTCTCATAAATTAACATTAGTAAATAAACTTTTAAAAGACAGATTTTTAACAGGTTATCTTTAGGTTATGTGTCACCTATAAACATAATCCTGGAAAAAAAATGGAAAGGTGGGACATGGCCAGGAACAAAAAAGCCTCAAGGGTCCTTGGACACCTTGAGATGAATTTTATCCAGCTTCCACCCTTCATGAGATTTGAATGTATTTTAGTGATTATATGTCTGTTTTGAGGATGGGTTGAAGCATTTCATTGCTGAAAAACTACAGTCCTTACAGTCACTAAAAGCTGATTTTGTGTTTCCAGCCTGGGGCACACACTTTACAAGAACCATTATAACAGAACTCCATAAGGCACTAACCCTTACTCAAAAACTATTCTGCCTTTACCTTCCACAATATTCTGGAAAGGTTGAAAGAACCGATGGCATTCTTAACTTAAAATTAGCAAAACTTTCAGAAACGTGCTAGCTCCCTGGCCAAAGGTATTGCCAGAAACCCATATGGCCATATGGTTCACTCCCTTGAGGATACATCAGTTATCTCCCTAAGAAGTGATAACTGGAAGGCCTGTTTATTTAGTGATTTATTTCAGTGCTAAACTCTACCTGGCTGCATGCACACATGCAAAATATTACAAGTGATTCATGTACCATACCCAGTGCTATCATCGATAGATGAAGGCCACCTTCCCACAGAATCTTCCTAAATAGCCTCTTTATGATCTTCAACCATGAGATTTTGTCTACTGGAAGAGACATCAGAGAAAACTGTTCTTGAACCTCATTGTATGGGACCTTACCAGGTACTGCTAACAAATACAGCAGTGAGACCCTGGGCAGTCCATTTTCAGTCCATATTTCACAACTAAAGAAGTTCAGAATCAACGCAACTGGAAGCCTACTCCAGGAGAGCACTTCAAACTGAGATTTCTCCGAGCTACTCTGGAAGCAACAGATCTTCAGAAGTGTACAAACTGAAGATCTTTGGAGCAAATAGATGACCTCAGTTAGTGGATAGCTTCTGCCCAAGATGTCAGACCAAGACCTGTGTTGAAGTCCTGTTTTGTTTTTCATCTGCTTGCTTGGAGTTATTGTTCTCATTTCTATGAATCCCTGGTGGTCATCACCTGTCATAATGGCCCCTTTTTTCTTTCCTCTTTACTGTAATTGTCAGGTCAAAACACACTCATTCCAACACCATTCTTAGATCATTCCAAATGGTAGCCACTGCTCTTGATCTTACCAGCGCTGGATACACCACCCATTGCCAGACCACCATGATAAATATATGTGAACAGTTCTGGTCTTATCAAATGAAACTATAGGGAATTTTAGCCAATGGTTTTTCAACTTGCACCTACAGGGGCAAATGACCTTGAACAAATCAACCTATGGCTAGTATCTCTCCCAGAAAAGAGCCAATTATTACAATCTATTGGTCAGACCCCAGGTAATTCTAGACTTGAACTCAAGCTTTGCAAGGTAATGGGTCAGTTATCACCTGAAAGAAACTAATAGAGACTCGAACATGTCACAGCAAGTATAAAGCTTTGGTTCAATCTTACATAAACAACTCCTTTTTCCTGGATCTCTATGGGCCCT